TAAGATGTGATGAAACCATGGCACATCTAATATATTTGTAGTATAAATATACACAATAAATAGAGATGAAATAATGGCTGAAATGGAAACAAAACTCTGCTGCAAGGCGTGGTACAGGAGGGAAATCATATAAAAGGAGAATTTAGTACCACACTGATAAGTGCAGACAGTGTGATTAGACAGTGATTACAACTCAAGTCACTGCCAGATTTGTTCTTGTTTACAACAAATGAGAAAAAAGAAAGTGATATCTGGTGAAATGTTCAAATGCAAATCACAGACTAAAACTGGTTTTACTGCTTGAGCTAATGTTGTATTATTATTATTAGAGATGTCCCGATCTGATAGTATCGGGCATATTTCACAGGATTGGTATCAGCCATAATAAAGCCAATCCAATTCTGATCCTCATTTAGGATGACAGTCCTGTATTTGAGTAGACTCATTTTTGAGATGCATGCCACGTACAATCCAACTGTCTGCACTGCCAAATCACTTGTGCTGTATGCATGTGGCTGTGACATGAGGCCTATTGTTAGCTTCAAGTTTATTGTCAGAGCTACCTGCTCCACAGAATCCACCAAAACAATGAAAGCTCATGAGTTCCAGCTCCACCAAAACTGGGACATACATCAAGCAAAAACTGTTTGTTGCCTTGTTTTTGTACTACATTCCTCTACTATCTATTCTCACCCAACTAATGAGACCCCTACAGTTAATAGCATTTTTAAGCCAAAAAAAGTTTGTCACATTAAAAATGAAGGATTTTTAATTGTATTTTTCACTTAAGCCCAAATGTTACTTTTAGCTGTCTCACAACTACAGACCCAGGCTTTTAAAATGTGTACAAAGATGGACGACAAAGTTCCACCTTATTCCACAGTCCAACAGAATAAATCAAACAAGTCAGCCTTGCAGGACCACCTGAGTGTGACGTAACTCAACCCTGCAGGTGTCTGTCTCCCAGGTATGCTGCTTCAGTCATAATGACTCATCCTGATCCCACTTTGTCAGCCTTGACTCTCTAATATCCTTCTAATCTCCCAAACTACAAGACTCATTAAAGTATGCATAGAGAAAATAACTCTACTGGGGAGATGGGCTGAACTTAGCTGACTTCATGTCACATCAAATATAATTTAATGGTCCATCATACATTGCAAGACCAAGAACTGTGGGCACCTTTGAAGTGCATCCATCAAAATGTAATTCATCCCACGCTTATGTCTCCTGCAGTCAGATGCTATTTATGTCATAATAGGACATTGGCACACCACAGCGCATATTTCCTTTAAAATGAGTGTTAGCAAAGCTGAAGTTAGAAAAGTAGAAAAAGGTGAAGGTCAAAGATCTGGAAACACACAATATGTCCACTCCATTTAATATAATAATACCCTGAGTTCAAATGGCCCATCAAATGGGATTTTAAGTAGCTCTGGGACATTAGGGAAATATTGTATCACAAGAGTTAATGAATTTTTCCTTATTTTTGCTACAACAGACACTATCAGACCAGGACTCCTTGTGGTTTCATTACAGGATAATTAGAGGTCATCTCACTCTGTACAGCGTCTCCACGTCCAGTCTGTCTCCTTCAAATTTTGAGACTTTATTAACTTCACCCATAAGCAAAAAAATAAAATAGAATATCAAGGATCTTGTAGGTATTTGCAGGACACAAGGAAAAGACAATGCTTATTAGGATGTACCCACTGTTGTTATGCTGTTGAGCAACATCACATAGAACATGGTTGAACTCATCATCTTGTGTAGTCTGAATTAAAAGCACAAATTGCATCATTATGTTATTTGACTCATTCAGATTTTTCCTCCACAACACTTGAAAGTAATTACACACTGTTTTTTGACCTTCGTGATAATAAAACAGATAGTCAGCAGTGGCTGACCTTTTATAAACAGGCAGGTTACTAAATGCACTCAGCAATTAAGTGACATTGTTGTGAATTCTCCCCTGATGTGATTTTATCATTGAGAATTGTGGAAGGTTTATAGCTCCTTGCTGAATTGCTCACAACTGCAATACTTCAGTTCAGTTACTCTTCCTATTCTTAGGGCAGTTTCAGTGTATTTTCATTGCAGCATTGTAAATAATTAAAACAATTGTGGCAAATGTCCTGGTTTCCTGCAAAGATATTCAGATTTGTGCAGCTAATGGGCTGATTGTGTTTTTGTTTATCCCTTCAATAAAAAAAAAGCTTTTTTAGCTCTTTAGTTCCTTCTTTTGTTTAGATGTTATCTTAGAAAGTTTTAAAGTTTTCTTGGTCAGCATATTTATTGTTTCATTATTAGCTGAGGTTTAGGTGAGACATATACAGTAAACCAATTTCTGTCTGGGAGAATGTTTAGTGCAATACAAATTTTGGCATAGCTTCAAACTGATGGAAAGTGTTGCTGTCATACAGTGCCACTAAATAAAACATCAAATCTGCATTTATTTCCAGTGTCAGGGGTGTTTCTAATTCAAACTTTCACCTCCAACTTTTGGAACCAGGAGGGAATTTTGTCATCATAAAACATTTACTTTCACGTCTCCATCTCCTGGATGTTTCAGTTTAAGTCATTTAGTCATCCTTTTTTATCTTTATTCTGCAGCCAGAAGCATATTAATACCAATCAGTAATGTCATGAAGTGCATAAAAAGAGGCCTCCTTTGAAAAGTTTAGGAGGAACAACAATCTGTGATGTAAATTTATGTTAATTTAATTTGCTCTCGAGAGGGAAAGTGTTGCTGTGTTTCAGCTTCATTTAACAGGAGAACAAAAGACCTCAGCTGCCTCCTAACACTGTTTTCCACTGCAATTTTTTCTACTACAGGATTTGAAAACACATGCAATTCATGAAAGTTGACTCCAAGGCCAGTGCTTATGAGTAAATCCACCATACAAGCAGATTAAAATATAAAGTAAACTTATTTTAAGTGGTTGTAAACATTTTGATAATATTAGATAGAGGTACATAAAGATGAGGTTCATCTACAACAGCAGTCCTGTCAGTCATCGTGGGTTTCACCAGCAGCCTAATGCTGATAAAAAGCTCTCCATCACTTTAATCTGATTAGAGACAGACAGACTCTGCAAGAAAGCTCCACACCCAGAGATATAGAGAGGGAGCAGTTAAGTATCTGTTGGGCCAGTTAAAAGGGATTCTTTTACAGCTCATATCATCTTATGTCCTCAGTTGAACCCAAGAGGAAATTTATTACCCTTTAACCTGTTTAACCACGACAGAATAAGCCCCTCAGCAGCCTCCTCACCCAGAAGTCTGACTGATCTGAGCAGCCACAATAAGCAGCTATTATAGGACATACATTATATTACCAAGAATATAACACTGATGCCATATGAGTTGCCGTGCCTGTCTTTGTGATGACAAATTTAAGATCTTCAGAAGGAAAAGATTTTGGAAGCAAAGAAAAATTTTGCCAGGATCTCTGTTCCTGTTGAAGGATGGAACGTGTGGGTTTTGTGTTAGGTTACGGGTAAAAACACTTTTTTGACATTAGCTGATCTTCTTCTCCAGCTCTCTTCACCACTGCCATTGCCACAGATTGCATTAGGATTAACATTAGGGTGTGTGTAATGGTTAGGCATACTTATGTAGTAGTTATGGCCCTGCAATGGACTCGCGACCTGTCCTGGGTGTACCCTGCCTTCGCCCGATCGCTGGCTGGGATTGGCTCCAGCAAAACAAATGTCTGTTTTTGCATTAATTCAAAACCTCAAAATGATCCCAAAGACAATCACACATGCGTTTGTTTCCTTTTCTCATGTGGGGCCTTACACTGACCTACATCCATTTCCTGAAGACTTCCTCTAAGCTTAACCATCAAGATGCAGTATGGTGTGAGATTTGTTTTGGAGATTGTTGACTGGCAACATGTGCTTTTTGGAAGCTGACATCAGGAGCAAACTATTGTAGCATGGCACTGTCAGCATGTAATAGCTTTTCCATGCTGACACTGGCCAGAATAACAAGATAGCAGGAGAAAATATCACCTGTACGCTAAGTGTGATCGAGACATTGCAGATGAATTCAGCCAACTTGAATCCTAAAAACATGGATGCCAGACAGTTTGACCTTTGATCTTTCACTTCAGGATAAGGCAGAACTGCCATCTGGCCTTTGCAATTTCCTGTGTGTGACAGTGATGATGTACGTATGTCATTTAGGGCTATTATTTTTGGTTCTAAGCATTTCTACATTTCTATATAAATTTTTGAGCTGTCATCATGCTCTTTCTTTATGCACAGTGGCATTCGCTGCTCCTGTTAAATGCCCAGGGACAGAGGACTGAGTGTCTCTATTTGTGCCACAGGACTTTTTAAAACAAGAGCTACCTGATAGCAGGTGTTTAAAGGAGCCAGTGTAAATACACTTATGAAGCGTATATCGTTATTTTGTGGGAATATTCTGTGCTAGAGTGTCAAGAGACCTTTGTTTATATGAACAGAACAGCTGTTTGAGGAAAACTAAGAGCAAATACCTCAACTCAGCTTTAATGAAGTGAAAACAAAGCACGAAACTATACTGAAATGAAAGGAAAAAACTTTTTACCTTTCTGCAGCTCCCGCCTTTTAAAATCCCACCCCCAACCCAAAGTACTACAGAGACAGTGAAGTATAAATATCCGACAGTGCTTGGATGGCTTGCTTTCATTGCACCACTCATCTTATCTTATCTTCATTGTCAGCTTCCTTTCAATGCTATTTCCTGTTCTGATGATCTTACTCTGTCAGGCAAACACAGATTAGCGCTTCAGCAAAAACACATTAAATTGTCTACAGAGCAAAGAAATTGACAGTCTGTTTTTTTTTTTGTTTTTTTTTTGCCTGTGCTACTTTGAGAGTTCTGGTGTCGGCTGCTCTCGGCAGGTGGTAGAAGGTTTAAAAAAAATCTAGGTCTCATTGTTAAGCTTTTATTTTGCTCATAAAGAAAGCACAGTGAGTAACATAAAAGCTTTCAGTAACAGATTTATTTTAGTTGATTTTTTGATTCTGGAAACTTCTGGGTGCTTTGGCTGGGGTTTCACATGTGACGTGCACATCGCTCCTCCAGTCAGTTGAATCTCTTCGTGTTTTGTTTTAAATTCGACAGAAGGTTCATCATCCTTGTAGAAGAAGTGCTTCTTCTAAATCAAGTCCAAAAGTCTAGTTTCACTGGAGCAAAGTTGTGTTTTGATCATCACATCTTTAATAAATTAGTTTGTAACATTTCAGTATGGCAGAGAAATACAGCACACTGTTGAGGTGTTTTCAGACAGGGAGCAGTTGAGAGACTCCAGTGACCGTGCATGGCTCTGTGCCACTGCTGTTGGCGCTCATGTTGGCTCAGCTTGTTCACTGTGGCTCACTGTGTGACTATGGCAACCACAGAAACTACAATGAAACAACACAGGAGCCCATTGTGCAGGCTGGGTGCAGCTAGGTGCTGCTGTGGCAGCATGTGCTCAGCGCCACAAATTCAAAACAGGAAACACTCATGTTGCCACAGTCGACCATGTTGGCGGCTGCTCCCTGTTTGAGAAGACCTTATAAGTACACAAATCACCGTTCACTGTACACTGTTAAATATTTGCATCCTCAAAAGAAAAGCATCAACAACTTCTGAACACATTTGGCAAAGTGTACAATATTTACAAAAAGAAGGGCATAAAGTTTCGTCGCATCTTGCTGATGCTCTGGTTCCAGAGGCCGAGGTGCTCCGTGTGCCTTGTAAAGCACTGAGCTCTCGCTAAGTCACCCAGCTCTGTCCTGTCAGGTCAGTTAGAGGTCAGGGCTCTCGCTAAATGAAATACTCCTTCTGGTTTTCACTGGGAGCGCTTTGAGAGTCTTCCTCGGTGCTGAAGGGAAACTCATGGGCATGTTCAGGCTGCGCTGCTTTGACTTCCTGGTTGCGATATGTCTCTTTTCTGCTGCAGATGAATCTGGCCATTATCACCAATGCAGACACAGTGAGGAAGATCCCCACAGCAATCATCCCTAAAAAGACAGAAGAGAGCAGATAACCTCAGCCCTCAATGGGTAAAACCTAAAACTGTTTTCCAGATCAGATTCCCACTGATTGCTGTTTTTTAATGGATATTTTTGAATGAAGTCATTTACATGTAACCAAAGTCTGAAAATTAAATCTATTGTGTGTTAATTAATGCAGCCAGTAGTACTGTCTGAATAGCACTGATAACTGGATGTGCATTGTTCTGAGGACAACGTGGATTTTGTCACTCTTCACCCTGTCGGCATTTTCATGGAAATAGAAAACAGCACACCACAAAAGATTACGTGCAATAGCTGATACACTACACACTCCTAGTCTGTGATGTCCATTCACTAAAAGAGGATTATTTTTCTTGTTAATATGCAACAAAGGTCATTGGGTATTTTTCCAAAGTTTTGTTTTAGCTTTAAACAAACTCAGTTACCTTGACTTAAGCTTCTAGTTTTATTTGGAAATGTAAAATACGCTAGAGAGGCAGCACTAAAATAGTTTTAAAATGGAAATAAGTCTAAAAAGTCTGTCATTTACATTTTCCTGCTCTTTCCTCAAAATGTCAACATTCAGAAAGTATGAATTTTCTTATCATATTCTCTGTACAATGTTAGACTTTTTTTTAAACATGATATTCAAATACATCTTGTAAGTCAATTATGATATTTAATGAACTGTCCTTTTTCCGGCTGAGACGGATTCTGTTACCTCCAATTAGAGCTGAGTCACTCCTGACAGTGTTGACTAAAGGCTGACCTGGATCCACTGAACCAGGTTGGTCTGCAGAGAGAAAGACAAAGAGACCAAATGAAAAGCAGAAAAGGACTCCAGAAATGGAAGGCCAGTGAGTTAACAGAAAGACCAATACAACTGCAAAGGAGAAAGAGAGAGAGGAAAAGGTCATGAAAATAGATTTTAGAAAAGAAGGCAGATGAGATGTGGAAGAAGGAGTGAAGGGACAGATACAGAGAAAAATCCACCAGCCGGTGCAGACAGGGTTTGTTGAAAGCCTCAGCGCCGCCTCACAGGACTTCACTCCAGTTGTCTGACTAAGCTCATCTGTCATAGTGCCATCATTGTGCCTGCTTAGCAAAGAGGATGGTTAATGAGCCTATAAAAACTCTAATGAACAGCACTAGGAATAATATTAAAGACATGCCAGATAGATTCCCACACTGGGGAAAAGGTGGGGTTGTTAGCTAATGATATATACAGTACATGTGCTATAAGGGCTGAGTCTGCTCCTTATACCTGAGAAGGAGTGTGTGGTTTCTGCTGCATAGGGATTGGCTGGAGAGGAGGAGCCACAGCTCGACTGCGCCAGTGGTCCAGTGACAATAACGGGGCTGTCAGGGTGCAGCAGAGCAGCTTTCAGAGGACTGATGGCGTTAAAGCGAACAGCTGACAGACAGCCTGTGAACCCGAGAGAGACCAACCCTGCCAGCTCAGCATCCAACTCATCAGACTCTGAACACACAAAGAGAGAGAATGAGTGAGAAGACAGATGTGCTGTCAGTGAGATCCAGCTATACTTTCAGCGACTCACCTGTAATGAATATTACTTTCATCTTGATAAGAGCATGTGATGTGGTGTGATGATAAGCACAGTATTCTTGTCTAACTTTACAGATGAGGAAAAACTTACTCAAAATGACTGTTCCCAACCCAGTGAGTAAACAAAATAAAGATATGAGATACTGCACACTTCCGAGAAATAAAACCCAGATTGCCTGTTTTGAATGAATTCTTCCCTCTCATCCATGGCAACCACACAGTATGATATGGTTAAATTTCATAAAATCAAACTGTGCTATATTTTTATTGTAAACTACCATGTAGAGCAGTTAGTTATTAAGCAACAAGTCTAAAATTCTCACTAATGGATATTTAAATATTAATTACACCCCATAATATAAAAGTGCATGGTCGAACAAACTACATACAGTATCTACTTAGCTATCCTGTCTGACCTGCATAATGATGCTAGGAAAATGGTTATGGGGTCATTAAAATTAAAATGATTGATTTTCTTTGGAGCATGAATAAAGTAAGCAAATTTCACGGTAATACTCCTTTTATGTGATTATAGTTTTCATTATTTATGTATGATGATCAGCCGTAACATTATGACCACGTGCCTAATACTGTGTACACAGGAGTCAGCGCAGCAGTTGGTTGGCACTTGTGTCACTCTGAGGTTCACAGTGCATCTTAGATGAATCTGTTTACTACCATAGTTATACAGTAATGTCTGAAACAGCACAAATGTGTTGACCATTCAGTGAGAAAGTGTGGTCTTGAGGACAAGTTAGAGAACTTTTTAGACAAATTCAACGGCCTCCAGTGATATCACCACTATAGCCGCTGAATGTTTCTGACTCAGTTATCTCACTATCACAATTTAGCCCCTATCAAAGTCATTCAAATCCTTACACTTATCTGTTTTTCCTGCTTCCAGCACATCAGCTTCGAGGACTGAATGCCCACTTTACACCCCAAACACTGACAGGTGCCACTGTAACAAGTTGTTAGTGTTAGATATCAGTGTTAGTGATTTCACCTGCCAGTGGTCATAATTTTATGGCTGACTGGCCAACAAATTCACTCTCCCTCACTCATTGACTTAGATCCCCCCCCCCACCACCACTATTTGTGACAGCAGGTGCTACATAAAATCTTCAGTAGTGAGAAATGTCAGTATGAACCACAGTTACTCCTGCAGTGCAATCTGATTACACAGCACATCATTACCAGTCATTTCATTTATTACCAGAGAGAAACAACTTTTCACCATGTAAACAGGTCCCTGCAGAAAGGTCTGGCTGCTGAGCTCTGTTTGCTTTACATTTGATCAGACATTGATTGAGTTGCAAACTGATTGTGATCCTCTGAGCAGCAGTGAAATCATTTGACTCAGAATCATACTGTACAGTAAATCTTATGACGCATGCATATCTACAATATAGACAGGCCTCCAAGATGGAGGTCTGATGGAGACTGGAGAAAAACTTACAGTAGCTTATGTTTTTACACACTGATTAAAAAGGGATTTGTCTCTCTCTCTACCTTTTATTTTTCTAACCGATTAAAATCTTAGATATACAAACCTAATCAGTTTCACCTGGTATGCATGTGAACAAGTTTAACTAGTCACATTATGTATAGTAATAAGCAGCACAGCGGCACGGTGGTTAGTGCTGTCACCTCACAGCAAGAAGGTTCCAGGTTTGCATGTTCTCCCTGCGTGGGTTCTCTCCAGGGGCTCCAGCTTCCTTCCACAGTCCAAAGACATGCAGTTTAGGTTGACTGGCGACTCTAAATTGCCTGTAGGAGTGAGTGTAACTGTTTGTGGTGGTTTGTCTACATGTCAGCCCTGTGATAGACTTTCGCCCAGTGTCAGCTGGGATTGGCTCACGACCCTATTCAGAATAACCGGTATAGATAATAGATGGATGGAGTTTTCCACAGCTATCCTAAAAGTTTCTGAGACAGTTTAGCTGACTGTGTCAAATTTCTGGACATACACCCACCTCTAGTGTTAAAGCACAGTACTCAGGTTTTGGGAAGACTGAAGTAAAAATACACAGTATAATAAGAACAGTGAGAATCCACAATCTGCCACAGCTGTCCTAAAGTACTACTGTAGGTATTTGTCACTTTTAATTTGCATTGAATGTTTTATCTATTTGTGTGCATTGTGTTAAGCACTTTGCTTTTTGTGTGTAAAAATGTGCTATATAAATAAACTTACATTGTCTTGTTCATTACAAATAGCAACACCACTGTGTAGAAAAAGTGTTACAAATAAAAATCATGCATTCAAAACTTTACCTAAATAAAAGTACAAAAGCATTAGCATTAAAATATACCAAAAGTACAGATTATGCAGAATGACCATTTCAGAATAATGTATATTACATTATTTAATTATTATTGATGCACAATCAAAATTGTACTAAGTGCAATGCTTCAGTAAATGCATCTACCACTGGCAGTCCCACATGTCAAAAAAATCTGGAACTAAATAACTAGAATTAAGGGGATGTGCTCCCAGAATGTAAAGTGCTTCTTAAAATAAAAATTCATGAAAGTAAGAAAGAAATAAAAATGCAGTGTTTGTAAGAAAACAAAATGGGTTGCTGTGGTACAGGTTCTATCATTAATCCTACAAATGAATCATTAGTCAACTGTTATTTGGTTTTGAAAATGTTAAAAACAGCCTAACTTCACTAAAAAGGATCTGGATGCTTGTGCAAGAAGTCAAACTCCCACACTGACAGCACTGGCTTTGTATCTATGAACTGAAGAACTGTCCACCTCCACCCAGCCGCTGCCCTTTACCTCCACCTCTCAGTATATCATTCTCTCTCTTTTGTTCTCATTCTCTATCATGCTCTTCCTGTCTCCCCTTGTGAGCATCCCGGTCTCTCCATTCTTTCCTGGACCATTAGTTGGGCTGATGGATGACAGGGCTGGCAGGGAGTGACAGTATATCAACTATCTTGCTGCCTCTCTGATACTGATATGACTGCCTGAGCCCTGTGGCGCAGCAGAGGGGAGGCTGGGTCACTGACTAACACGGCTTGCATTGTCAACAAAAAACAGTAGGCAGCTGAACCTAAAAACAGCACAAGCATCAATTTATACTGGCTTCTTACCTGAGCACCATTTGCTACTTTGAGTAGAGACCGTTGGGTTTGGTCACACAATGGAAATATTCCAGTACAAGATAGATATGAATGCAGTTTCCATAGTGGTCATTGTCCTCTCAGCCAAAAACTAGGCTATTCAAAAGTTTTTTATGGATTGTACATTTGTCTGATTGTGATTCTCGGTTCCAATTTATAGCATATTATTTGTGAAAGAAAATAAAAAAGGAGCAACTTCAATGTAAAGACCAGGGCATTTCAGCAAAGAGCCTTCATCAGGGTCTGTTAAAAGTATACAACAAAGAGTCCTATAAGTAGTACAAGTACAGAAAAAGTTCCTTTAAAAACACCCAACCACATACAAACTCACAGAAGTAGATTAGGCATATGGTCATGTGGTTATAGGCCAATCAATTTCAAGGGTCAAACAGGTGTGTCTGTCTAATTGACACAGGTGACACCATATCTGATGGAATGTGCAAGAAAATACACACTCAGGACAGAGCCTCATCTCTCCCAACAGGCACAACAGCCCAACACAACATTCCAACCAACCCATAAAACATCATATACCTCCCCAGTCGCAACAAAAACACTTGTCGGGAGAGCTAAAGCTCTTATACACTAACATACTGTAAGTGGGATAGAAAACGGATGAATCCACCCCCAGATTTCCACTATCAAAACAAGGAGGACAATGCGTCTAGCTAGGCTTGAACCAACCCTGCCTCAGGCCTACACGGTTGTAACAGCTTTTCTCTCATTATGTCTCAGAGGGTAGTAACCAACAATAAATATTAGATTTGGCAGAGGAAAGTCACCCGAGTTCTGTCACAAAGTCCCTTCCCTTTTAATGGAAGCCTGGTGCAGACGGATCAGTCCTGTAGAGGATGACGGGAGTGATGTGAAGTATGATGTTCTGTCATGCAAATAAAGGTTGAACTGTACCGTCTGACTTCCTGGTTTAGTTTGACCCCACCCTCAGCTGCTGAGACTTATTGGTTGTTATGCTGAATCGCAGGGTGCTGACTCCAATCTCCTAAGTAATTTGTTCTTTTCAATCTCTCCTCATTACCATACAAAGTGAAAGACCTTTTCTAAAGTTATTACCATTACAGCTGTCTGAAGCCCCACTCTGCCAGACAGAGTTAAAGACTGTATTACTCACACTTTGATAACACAGATAAAAGTTCACCAGTGTATACTGCATTTTCAGAACTTCTGCATTAGTGAAAAAACAATGCCATTTACACTGAGTTTGGGCACCCATATAACTCTAAAATGTATCTAATGCCACTTAAATGTAACTTAAGTGGATGGCTGCACCTTTAGTCTTTTCTAAGGTTCTTATTTTGCATCTGCACAGTAAAGTGTTTTCTTTGTGACCATTTGAATATGGATGTCAACTTGCTTTTAAAAGTGCCACAGCTGTTGCTCAGACTGCGGCGTTCCCTCTGGACCACCCAGCATGATGGACAGAAAACAGCAGAAAGCTCCAGAGCGGTGTTTTGTCACATCAAACCAAACATCTCAATGATGTTATTCAAATGTGTCTGTCTAAGTGCTAGTAGAGAGCCTCACTTACCCTGCACTCTGCCGAGAATGAGCGATTTGATGCTGCTGAATTCTACATCGGATGTCAAGTTGAAGTCTTCTCTGGCATTCTGGTCAATCTGAAAAATAAGGTATGCGACATCTGTGAAGCTAAAAGCTTAGCAGGTAGAGAGCAAAAACTGAAAACAACAACAAACTATCAAGGACAGAGATCTTTATTGTTATGTTTGTATACAAGAGCTGCTCTGAGAGGAAACCAACACACAGCTGCAGAGAAATGAACAAATTATTATGAAAACTTAGCCTGGGGCTCGGCCTCTAGTCTCATCTACATATTTAAATGTCATTCAACCCTCAGACTGTAGACGAATAGTCCTGTGAGATGCTACAGTTCACAGTAGCAAAGCAGACAAGTCTAAGGAGAGCAGGTCCTGTCTCAGAGAGACAGTCTTTATAATAAAACAGGGAGAGTGTGATGTATTGCTTGCAAACACAGAGATTTGGGCTTTAGTGAATCATTAATCAATAAGACAGCTGCTAATGCTGATCAGCAAATGGAGCCACAGAAAACAGAGAAACAGAGAGAAAACAGAGGATATTGCTCGAAATGCAGCATTTATTAATTTTACAGTGAAAGGTTCCACTGGCACTCCAAGAGGATTGATCTGTTTGTTTTTAAATTAATATAATAGTTTGATGATGATTGTGGGTGTCAGGTGCCCATTTTCATATCATTAATTGAAACTTCTGGCTGCCATTTCTGTATTTTGAATGTTGATGGAGCAGAGTACAGCATGTTTGACAGCAGTTGTTCAGAGAGTAAACATCTGCATCCACCTGTATACCTGGACTGCTATCATCTCTTTCTTGTGGATTGGCTCAGAGCATCCTTACTTTCATTTTAACTTTAGAATGCAGATTACTGTTTATCATTTTATCTTTTGTTGACTTGATTTAAGGACCCACCTATGCACACTGTATTCTGTTTTATCCATGTTTGGACTGTACTACGGTTTGACTGCATGGAACATACAGCACTGTAAGGAAGCAGGGTAATTACTCTCCTGTGTACAAGAAAAATTAGTAGCAGCAGAATGAACTATGTGGTCAAAATAAACTGTAGCCAGCAATTTCAGTTAATAATATTCTCACAGAGAGTCTGCCAACAGAATCCTCTCAGAACAGGTGTGTAGTGCATTGTAAACAGTAGGTTAAACATGTGTATCCTTTTAAAGGTAGATCTTTGGTGCTCCTCCAGCTGGTTACCACATCGCTTGTGAGAGCCCCAAAACAAAAACAAAAGACACCAAACAGCCCTGCTTGTGGTTATTTGTTGTGTGTGTTTACCTGAACTGAGACGGTGTCTGCCAGTCTCCTGATGGTCACTGTGTGCAGATGCCCATCAGCCAAGTCCGTGACTCTACTGCCCAACACCTCCACGTCTCTGCTGCCGTGCAGCTTGTACCTCAGCTCCAGCTCATCTTCGCAGGCACAAGACAAGAAAACACTCTTACCTTACACTCCATGTACATCCATCACTAAAAAATGAATTTTACTGAAATAAAACTGTAAGCATCAACATGCAGTGTTTCTTCTTGTAGTTTTAAAAGATATAATAGGAACTGTTTTATATATTTAGATCTCGTCTAGTACTGTTAAGAAAAATACAAGATACTGCTGTAAACTCATTTTGCAATGTTGCAGATTGGTCTAAGGTTATAGATCAAATTAAATTAGTCTATAAGGTTTAGATTAGACTGACATCTTTGCAGACGTGTTCACTCTTTCAAAGAAAGAACATGTCTTCCAAATAGCCAAATGATCCTCATTTAAGGAATTAAAAAGCTACAAAGCATTTACTACTGTGAGGAGGACTACTCTAACATGTGGTAAAATTAATTCTCTATTTTTTTAACAGGGTTACACTTGATAAAGTAATGGCCCTGAGTTAATTTAAATGCTCTGAGATATGAGGAGATATTACAGATGAAAAGAAATGATAATCTTTCTGAGAAAAATACTTAATGCCCTTTTGATTTCTTTTTATTATGACTCACTTTGTCTCAAATACATGCTATTATAGAGTAATTCTCCAATCCTAAGAGCTCATCTTCATCATCAATAAAAGCAGACCTGGAGAGTGCACAGTGTGTTTCAGTAAAGTTTCACTGTGTGCAGCAGCTTCTGTTACTGCAGCAACAAAATATGAGAAATAACTTTTGAAGCTTCTAAGGGAAACCTCTTTCTGGGATTTAATTAGATGCTTCAGCAAGAGTGCAAATACTTAATGGGGACTTGATCAACTATCCAAAATAACTGCTCCACTTTGTCTCAGTCATTAAAAAGCTGAAAGTTACTTCAAACATCAAAATTTGTAAGATTTTATTCAGTGATACACAGAAGTATATTGTACCTAATGTCTAAATGTTTTTGACTGATTTTCTTCAGAATTACAAAAAAAAAAAAAAAAAAATTAAAATCTCCAACACCTGAACTTTGCTTGCTAAAATAACATGTTTATTTATAAGCTCTGGCTGGATAATGGAAAATCCTTTCATGCTATGAAGGAATGCTGGAACTGCTCCCTGGCAGACGAGGCTATGTAAAATTCTACAGTGAAGAAAAGGAAGGAAGACCACAGCTGAAAACAGAATTATCATTTATGAGTAACTGCTCCACGTTTTCTTTGAACCTGACACTTTGCATAACAATGAGCTTGGCTGCATGTACAGACTGACAGAATGAATCCAGAGGAAGGGCAGCTGAACTTAAGTAAATGAAGCAAAAATAAGGGGCGGCAAACTTAAGTTTGGCCAGTGAAATGAAACAAAGCCTTGTCACCATGTTTGTTGAGAAGCACTGCCAGGTATTCCTTATGGAAAGAGCTGATGTAGAGCAATAAAGCTGGACTCTGGCTTGTTCTGAAGCTCATAGAGATGTTTTCTCCTCTCAGCGCCATGTCAGATGAAATGAAGGAAGGCCAGGCATTGCTGTTCCTGCTCAGTTCATATGGCTCTTTCACGATGTAGGTTATGGATGTTGTAGACTTAAAGTAGGCTGAAACCTCTGAAAGGGTGGAAATAATTGACATGTGTCAGTGGTGAAGCTGAGCATTGTCTCTGCATTGTATTGTATTATAAAGGTATGGCTCAGTGACTTGTTCTCTGCTTTCTGCAAGGCACTCTCTATTCCAGCTGCACTGAGAAACTGCATGCCACTGATCATAGAGACCCGTAGGAGGATTAAAACAAAAGCATTTGCTGTATTTGGAACTCTGGCATGGTATCCAATATGTTTTTCCAATATTTCCTTTGAATGTAGATAAAAATGTATAGAATTTGTCTGCAAAGATAAAATGTTTGGGGTCCAAGAGACCCCAGGGCCTCCTTAATGGCTCAAAAAACATACTTAATATTGTTTTTTTTATCTTGATACTTTATGACTTTCCCTAATTTTATGCAAATTGATTTCAACATGATTTTGTATTGGTGACTGAGCTTTAGGGAATGATACTTTGCTTCTGCCTGGTGTCTGAGAGACCATCAGTTGTGAAACACTATTACATACAATGGAGTTCCATAAGAGATCTAACAGTGAGGCAGAGCTCACTAGGGTCTAACTGACCCCAACCACTGACATATAGTACTGTATATGATGAACATAGCATCCTTGCTTTTTTGCAACCAGATTCTGTGCAGGCTGCCAATCAAAGCTGTCAAATCAACTGAAATACATCTTGTTATAGTATTAAAGAACCTATTAAAAACAAACTTACCAGAAAAATGATCACTTGTTCACAAATCAGTATGATAATATCTTACAAATATGACAGAAATAACATCTGGGAAAAATGTATTTGATTTGTCCTTTGAGCTTTTACTTTGGTTCCATCTGATAACATGGCGGATGTGGGATTTATGACCTATACTGCATCCAGCCATTAGGAGGTGAATGAGTCATGGTGGTTTCACTTCTGGGAGCTGTCAGCCTGTCCATCGTTTTTACAGTCAATAAACAATATAGCTTCATGTGCTTTTTTTTTAACCTGAGATTTTCTTTGGCAAACAAAAAGAAGACATAATATTTGTTGTTGTATAGCACACAACATACAGAGCATGAAATATTTCCTTATTTAGAGTAATAACCAAGTTATATGGTCACTCCTGTGTTTTGTTGCCTTGTTGAGTTTGGTCCAATGGTGTTTCAACTTCAGTACTTTTCTACATATTAGATTTCAAAAAGTTCAGAGGAAGAAAAAATAGGGAGTAATAAAAAGGTTATACACACTCCACTATCAGATGATTCAGTGATGTTTAATTTTTCAAAAAAATCAAAAATATTTTTGTTGACTTTGTGGCTTTTAATTCTTCTTTTCATTAGGAAATGAGCATCATCATGTTATCAGTACTGACAGAATATGACATTATGGTGAGTTTTAACACTCAGGCCCTTGATGCACCACATGGCAGAGAAAACAGCCTGGTGAGCCAGAAGAATCCTTTAAGATAATCCTGATGCTTGACCTTCAGGACAGAATGGGCTTCCACTCAAAACTCAAGTGTTGAGCAAGCTGTGCAGACAGTGAACCAGACAGTCAGGGCCAGTCTAATTTCTGCTGACTGAAGGATCCTCTTAAGAATGAAAACTGTGTTTTGTAAGTCTATAAAAGCAAAAATATGAGATCAAAGGTATAAGAAATGAATTGAACAGTGTTTGTGTGCTCTACTGTAAGCAGTACTTATGTCTGGCTAACTGGCTAACTACCTATAATCATAACCCAGTGCTGCCTCCAAGGCCGGGGTCTTTTATATTATTCTGTGGGAAGTTTACATTTTAAAAAGCCTTTTAACTTAAAAAGTGAAACTTTGTGGTGAAAATATGAAAAATAAAGCATAAACTCGGTGCTGTCCTGCCTATCTAAGCAACTAGATAGTGTTAATTTAGAACAAAATATTTTTCTTCAATGACTTGGACAAACTAGCCCAACACTATAATATAATGTTTATTTCCATGTTTCCTACATGGATCATCGACTGGTGAAATTTGAGTTGGTAGCAACTGAGAATGCTGGTTTTTTGCCTGGGGCATGTAGATTTAAAAAAGTTAGCTGGAGACAGTGTTTTCAACCAACTTGTGGTGCTAAATTTATCTTCTATCTGTCTACTTCTATCTGAAATCACAGCCTCATTGTTTCAAAAGGATTACAAAAAAAATCATGCGTGCCACTGTTCCTTCATCAGTTGAATATTGTTGGGAGCCCCAAGAAGATGTGACACGACAATACATGCTGTGTGCAAAAGAGCTGGACAGGCATAGCAGCACTAAGCAGGATGGGGAAGTAAATGACCAGTTTACATAAACTATGGTAAACTCTATACACTCCTATTATATTTTTGAAAATGTAAAGAAATTGCTAAATGTGTGTTGCAACAAGACATTTCTGTGCAGTACCATTAGTGTGGGTGCGATGCAGGTGTGTTACTTTGCTGGAAGTCTGTCTAATTCAGCACTGTCTGTGACCGCCATATCAGACTGGCAAACAATTCTCTTCTTCTGCATAGGATGCACAGCATCAGCTAGCAAAGTGAGATGTAATAAAAACCAGAAGAAGGCTGCTGCACAGCACTAATATTACACTGAAACCACATGAGAAAAATAAACTCATTGTTGTATACAAAAACAAGTACATTGGTACAGGCATAATATGACATACAATGACAAAAAGAGCTAGATATAAAGCTAAATAAAGATATATTGTTGAAAGGAAAAACACCACAAGTTACCTCTGTATACTGTTGTAATTAAATTACTGTAATTATTAAAATATTCCTATTATAGTCACCATTATGTTCTTTCTAGGGCAGCTATTACTAGAATATTATAGGACTTAAAGTAATGAAATGTAAAATACTATAGTGTTTTAGAGTGATGGTTCTGAACCATCCAATGTTTGTTTATACTCAAGTTTTTCATATTTTAGCTCATAAATGATCTTGAACAGTTTTAGAGCATACATTTCATGCTGACAAAAACCTACAATGAACTTCATGGTGAATTACTTTATCATCTCTTATGCACAAGGGAATTAAATTGTCAAGGCAATGAGCCAATGTGAAGTTGGCAGGGAGACTTTGCATTATTTTAGTTGATGCTACTGGACCATGTTCCCCTCAGGTTTACCATTCATCCTGTATGCTGAACATAATGAAAACTGTCTGGATGCTGTCTGGATCCTGAACAGAAATGTATAGATCTGAACTGTTATCTTTTTTCTGTGATTAAAATGTGTGTTATTAGTAGCTTAGTATTAGTATGTGCTCTGTGCATTTACTGAGGGAAAGTCTCAGATGTGCGTTTAAATGTTTGTACCTTCATGACAGAAGGCTCCGGTATAGGATGACTGGCCACAGTCGCAGGTGAAACCGCTGGCTTTTTCCACGCAGAGGCCCTGATTTTGGCAGAGTGAGCCGTAGCTGCTGCAGTGGCCAGGGCAGCCAGGTCGGACCCCTGGAGTTATCTTCGCCCTCTCTTCCAAGTCCAGAGTGACACCATTCAGCTGCAGAGAGCGGATGCAGCCCAGGAAGCCTTTCTGCCTGGATGCGGTACCTCCTGTCAACAAAAACAAATGCATACTTTCCTTTTCTGTCTTTGTGTTGTCAGATTTCACATTAGCAAACAGAGTCAAGGACTCGCTCAGTCGTCATATGTTCAAGAACTCCCCATTATCTACCATTACTTATTTTTGTTCTCCAGTTTTATAAATACAGTTGGCCTAAATTTCCAGTTACAGTAAGTAAAATCAAGTCTTTTAGATAATGTCACATTCAGCATAAAAAGAATTCACTTACATGAACAAAAAATCCCGCCAAAAAATTAATGACAATGTACCTTGCACGACAGGAGGAATTTCTGACACAACTTCACCCACTGTCAAGGTGCATAAACAAGGGAAAAACAAACCAGAAAACAAAAAGTCCAAGGTACATCACACTACCACGCTTTACAGGCCTTTATCGCTATGGAAACAGCCATAAGCATCATGGCTAGTGAGCAGGCTAGCTAGCAGCATGCTACTGGAACGCCATTATTTTGGAAAACGTCATAAATATAATGCTATGATAGTGAAAAGGTCATGGTTTCATTTTGTTTTTCTCCACAAAGGTCAGGTCTCCTGAGTGAAAGTCATGCATACCTAGCCATCCAGACCAACCCTCCTCCTAACACAGACTTTGTGCCTATATAGTTACTCCTTTCCTCGTGTCATAATTAGTAGCATTTTGTCATAACAACCAGCTGTTGTATTTTATAGGAGGATAGTCTCATATAAACAGCAGCTCATATCACCACAAGAGGCTCAATAAAGTTTTTCGATTTTGCGTAATCTAATATGAATGAGCCCAACAGAACAGAAAACCCCTCAGTCTGGCAACAGTGGTCACAATCCTTCTCTCATTCTGTCTCTGTAAATCTATAATTCTCTCTTCTCTGAGGCAGACTATGATCAACAACTGCATGTTGCCACTGCAGCACAAAAGAGCACTGTCTGTCCTGCAAGGCAATGAGACACTGGTACTGTCTATATCATTGTGCTGGCTGTTGACTGGCTAAATGTGCAGCTTGTATCTGATATTCGTCATTTCCATTAGCAGGCAAGAGGAATAACATCTTCCACCCCTAACCTGAAAATTAGCATTGTAATACAGCAATCTCACACTGCTCACACCAACTGGTGACGTCTTATTTTACATCCGCGCTTGACAGTTGTTCTTGCTCTTGCAGACTGGAATTGGCATGATATTACTCCCACAGTTTGAATCCGGAAAAGCTTTAAGTGTTCATATCACTAAATCACTAACCTTAATGAGACTGTGGTCTCCTTCTGCAGCAACAGTTGTAAAACACTGACAACACATTAAGAGCAAACAGGGTGGGGAATTTAATTAAGCATCCTTTAAATGACTCAGTAAGGCAAAGTTTGCACTAATTAAAACACAAGCACAGCAAACTTCTATTTGTTGATAATTTAATAACAACATGGAATCTCTAGAAAATACTAGCTGTGACTGCAAAAAAGGATCAAATCCTTGGTGCTTCTTGGCCAGAAAACCAATACCAGCTTTTTGAGGAACACCACCTCTGACCAAAATAGAAAAAGAATTGAAACTACCAGATAAGGACGCAGGAGTCAATAGAAAACCTATATGACAGTGGGGATTTCAGCCACTTAAGCAGCTTTAGAGGCTCACCTTATGGTGCTGGAACTCAATACGGTCTGGTATTGCATTATCTGATCATATATTCTCTAATGTGACACAAAGAACCAAGCAAGAGGACATAAACACACGTCAATGCCTACATCAGCCAACATAGACACTCTAACACTACTGTGACTTATTAATATATCATTTTAACTTTAGCTTGTACAAGTGTGAATGCAAAATGTATCAGTTCCTATGGCAATAAATGAAGTTGAAGCAGATCAACTTTGTGTCATATAAATTCACCCAAGGCAGTGTCACAGCTAATTAATTCAAGCTGTGCAATATCCTGTTTTACTAAGTTGTATCAGGCAGTTTTATACATTACAAATGGGACACACTATTCATAGGGATATATACACATCTTTGCGGTATAGTGATTTATGATTATGGATTAACAATGACGATCTCTGCAGCACCTGGCCCTTCGTGTTCCACAAGAAGAGATCAGAGATGCCCAAATTCATATTGCTTTGCTGTAAATCAAGTCAAACACAAAAAAGCTTCTCCCACAGCATCTTATTTTATATTCCTATCGCACATGAATCCCTCTGCATCAGCGGTAAACACCAGCCGGGGCAGTCCTGCCCATATAAGGAAAACAACTCATAGCCTCTTCTTTCTAGCAGTTCAGAGGATTATTGTCTTAACACAACCAACCAATCAATGCCCTCCTCCATCTCTCTGCATATTTCTAATATCAATGTTATATGCTGACTTTTTCCTTCAGAAATGTGTGTTTACAAATGAACAAATGCAGAAAATATTTGCAAGAAGATAAGCCTCATAATACAGGATGGATAAGTGTGAGAGGTTAAACAGAGTTATGAAAGTCTGTGGAAAAGATGAAGTGAAAATTAGAGAGTTTGAAATGATGACGTTAAGAAGAATAAAGCACAGTGGGATTGACAAAGAAATTAAAAAGGCTCGGGTCCCTTACAATGCGCAACAAAGCCAGCTGGAGTTTGGCATTTACAGCACGCTCCAGAAAGTTTAATTTGTCACAGTTCAAATTAAACTGTATAAAATGTTCTTACACCAGGTGTTTAGTCACGTAATTAATTTTTAAAGGATATGACTGTCAAAAAAATTACATGAAAAGAAAAAAAAAATCTGGTTCCACTAAAAAGTACTTCTTGTGCAGCCAAAGCCTGGTATACCTTACTCCATGGGTCTCCATCCAGCTGGTTACATGTGCATGTGCAAATTTGCACAGAAAACAAAGTGGAAAAACTGGAAATTCCAAAATGTTTTGAAATACCTGAGGTCAAAAAGTTGGAGTACTAATACAATAAAATGATTCAATGTAATGCAAACAAATTTAACAAATTAATAGTGACAGAAAGCCACAGACAGAAAGTACTGAAAGACACACTAACACATTGTTATTTTGGGTCTTTTTATGGGCTTTGTTGGAGTAAGAGGATCACAAACAAATCAACTCATACACAAACACTTGCATGATGCACTTGATCAGCACACCATAGTGCATGGCTGTTTACCAAAGATAATTACTGTTCAGTGTTCAGAAAGCATTGACTCAGCAGCTCCTTTTTCCAGCATAGCCAGAATCAGCAACACTTGGTAAAGCTGCTCACTGTTTTCTAAGCACCACTAGCCAGTCGGGTAATAAAAGGCACTGACAAAGAAATTTAGTGTTACTGGACCTATGCAGCTGCCTGCTACTGGTGGTTAAGCTCCAACAGCTGCCCATTTGGGACTTGTGCAGCAGAAAAAACCTTATCTAATAAGAACTGCATGGCAAAGTACGCAGAAACTGTAGAGCTAACTATGTCCCAGGCAAAGAACCTGATGAGGTTTTTATTTCCATGTGCAGCTGCCCATTCAGAATGACTTAGTGAGGCAAAAAGACTGTCGACTCCTGGCTCCCTCCACTCACAAAAACTATTTGTTTCATCACGTCTTTGTGTGTGAAGACGTTTGGATGCTTGTTTGTAAGTGTGTGTCTGGACTCTGAGATAAGGCTTGACAACAAGTGGCAGCAATTGTCACTAGTTCTCCACTGTTAATGAGGTTAATGTTCAAACAACATAACTCTCTCTACAACATGCCTAATCTTAATCCTTATTATAACCTTCAACTAACCCTGACTCATTTACTTAACACTACAAAGCCTTTAAAATGCTCTTTGAATTTCCCTCATCTAACGTTTTGAAGGGGTGTGAATACACACACACACACACACACACACACACACACACACACAGTCTTACTCCTCACCTATGAATAGCTGGCTGTTGAGCTGCAAATGAATGTGTCCTTCAGCAGGTGCCTCCTGCGTGGAGGCAGGGAAGTCATCGATACGAAGCGATGCTTCCTTCACATTGCGCTCAGCACGCACGCTGTGCCACCGGTCATCATTCAACGGGACACTCGTCTCCACTCGTACCTCCAACGGGCCGTTCCCCACATCGAAAGAGAAGATGACCTCTGAAGAGGCTGCAGTGAATGGTAAGAAGCAGAGGATTGTGGGATATTAGCCAAGTAACGTCAGGAAACACAAACGAGGTGGCTGCACACAGACTATACATTTGCACGGTTAGTTGACTGTCACATCAACAGAGTGAGAAATTCCAGCAGGCAGGTTAACAAACCTTCCCTGACACTTTGAGATAACTGTGTCCTGTGATGATGAGACATTGTAACTCCCTAATGTCACTTCCAAAGATGATGCAGCTCGAACACTGCAGTGAAGCAGACTTTAAACAATCCATCTTGGCACTGGGTGTAATGATGCTGACAATCTTAATCTTAAAGCTGTGGTATGTTTTATTTATTTCAAGATTTATTTATGAAAAAAAAACATATTTGTTCACTGAAGATAAGCAAAAAAAAGCGTATGTCAGCTTCAGCTCCAACAGTTCCCTAATTTTTCTGCTTTAAGTGAAATGTGTCTGTTCAACCTGACCAGTGAGGAGCATTCTCAGTCAGCAGAAAAATGAAGACTGTCCTACACAGTTAATTATGTGGCTGAGAGTAGGAGGAAAATGATCTTTCAAGAAACATCTGTTTGTTCGAACCATATTTTTTAGTTGTTTTAATAATGCGGCAAACTTAAAAAAATATGCAGGGATTTTTAAAATCATACCGTTAACAGGAAGAGCAGTTTTTCCAAATTTGTGCTGGATCATACTGTCATACTTTCAATAAATCGTGATCTTCCATCTACATATGTTGGCAGTAGTGTGAAGTGACTGCCTCCCACCCGTCCATTGGTTGGTAGGATGGTCAGACATAAATCTGAAATGATTCATAGACCAACACAGGGCAGGCAAGAAAAACTGCAGCTGTAGACTCACATCTGTGTGTATGTGTGTTAGCACCATTCTGTTGTTTGGTATTAACTGTGTCTACAGCTATTAACTTCTTTAATTCAGGTCTGCACTGCTGGCACACAGGCAACTCTGACTTTAGTTGCTGTTTACTTAATTTGCTGCAACATTTGAAATCACATCTGATGATAATTTTTCCATCTAGTGTCAATTTTGTTGTTCACTGTGAATGAGAAGCAATGTGTAGTCTGGCTATAATTTGTTTAATCATCTAATTTGGATCCAGTTGGATGGAAATATATATCATTTGCTGCTCAATTATTTTCTCTGCTGATTGCATTATCTGTTAAGCACTCTGGTCCAGAGAGCTCTCAACAAATATTAAACAAATTGCCATGAAATGAGAGATGAATCCCACTGCCCTTGGCGATACTCTGACTAACATGCCACGACACCTGATACAGACATCCACAGTATGTCCCACTCAGGATGTATTGTACTTTGAAAACTTTGGCTTTTATGTAGCATAATCATCAGGTCAAAAATATTTTTGCACAATACTTGCCTGCAAAGTTAATTTTCCATCCTCTTGCTGATAATTAGCAAGTGCTTAAACCGATATTGAACATGGTAAACATTACACCTTATGAACATCAGCATGTGAGCACTAACATCAGCATTTAGCTGAAACCACGACTGTGTCTCAACAAGGCTGCTTCAGGGAAATTACATTAAAATACTTGTAAAGTGTTTTATCAGTTACACTGTGGTGCCAAAACACAGCCATAAAAAAATACAATAACAACTGTAGTCTCTGGGTGGTGATTACTGCAAGATCAGATATTCTGAACAGAAAACTGCCCAGAGGATTGTGAGAACTGAGCTCCCTAACCTGGACACAGTGGATGCTGGCCAGCAACATCAGCAAGGACCCAACTCATCCTGGTCATAGACTATTTGTCTCCTTGCCCTCAGGAAAACATTTTGAAGCCATCACAGTATGTACAAACAGAATGAAGAACATTTTCTTTCCCGGGGCTGTGGTTTCCATTGCTCCTAGAGATCAACTTACAATATATAAACTATGTATGATTTTAACATGGAGTTGTAGTGCTGTATTGTTTCTGCACTGCCACTGCTTGTTTGTTTATTGAGAATTCACTTATTTAAATTTTTATTTTATTATCCTGTCTTCTTATCCCTGTTTTTATTGATGCTAATCTCTGAGAGACAAACAACATTTAGAAGAAGCAGCAGCTTTATTTATTGTCATTGTAACATGTACAATAAAATTATGTTGGGAGCCGAGGGCCCCGGGCCACTGCGTGAATATGTGCCGCCATCACGGGCAACAGGGAGGGGTTCAGTGTCTGGCCCAAGGACACTTTGACATGTGGACTGTAGGCACCAAGATTCCAACCTTCAACCTTCCAGTTGAGAGACGTCTGCTCTACCCACTGCACCACTGTTGCTTCCCAAATTACAATGCCAAATAAAGTCTAAGTCTCAATTTTGTGACTTCACACATACACAAATTAAAAAATTGTTGTGAAAAACATGGGAATATACTGTGTGCCATTTGATAGATACAGATCCAGTCCTTTCTTATTAAGATATGTGCTGTTCCAGCGGGACTGAAATCCCAAACCTAATCTAGGTTAGTATGCTGTTGTCATTAATCATCACGGCATTTACACAGCTCTGTTAGGTTAAGAACTTGGCTTATAATAAAGAGAGGTGAGCTGAAGGCCACAGAGAATCTGTTCATCCATCATAACACTGCCAGCAAGCCTACGCTCCACATTTAGGAACAAAGTTAGCAGAGCGGTGACATCTGTGTGTGAACAGTAAATCATGGAGGACGATGACAGTGGGACTACGCAGCCCTTTGATAGACCCAGAGGCATAACTTAATTTAAAAGCTGCTCTCTGTCCCGGCTCCAGTCATGTTAACAGCAGTAATAATGATACAGAGCCATCTCAACACCAGCTGTCATAATAACAGCAGTAACAGTGCTGCAGCGAGATAAGTGGAACTCCCCACTGTAACAATGTCGGGGTTTCCCCAAGGAGGAGGGGTGCCATTTGTCCTACTGTATGAACATGTGTGTGTGGGTGTGTTAGGGAGAGAAAACCAGAAGCAGATAGAGAGAAAAAGTGAGGAAGATACAGTAGGTATTAGGATGTGATTTAGTTTCCACGAATCATTTTATGAACAGCATTGTAACATTGTTCCCTTGAACATCATGGTACAGAAGCTACTGTGTAAAGCATCACTTTCTATGCAGCAGAGTTTAAAATGCTATTCATTCCCAAACAAACTGTCCAAAATAAATGACAAAATACATTGTTTTTTAACTGCTCTCTAAAACCCCCCACAGAGTGTAAACATGTTCTGAACTGATGCCTGTCCTGGACACTCAACATCAACTGTCAATGCCTCCCAAAACCAAATATAATACAGCTACAGTATGACATAAATGCAGCTAGTTTTAGGTACAAAAATTACTTGGTTAGTGTCACAGCAAACAGCACAACTGACTTTGGTTGACCCTTCCACTCTGACATTGTTTTGGGGAGCATAAAAAAACATTCCTTCTCTGTTAGATGAATGTGGAAACAAAGTCCTGCAGTCAAATTCTGAATGTACATTATTCTTCCCAGTGAGCGTCAAAAACAATAAGTGAAGGGGGAATTCAGTTCATGGTAACCCCCCAGCCAAACAGAAACTAACCAAAAACACAGTTATATAGCAATGAGTGAAAGTATTTTTATATTCTCACAGCTGAGTGTGATCCGGATGAAGTCCTTGATACCTAGATTCTCCAGAAACACCCCAGAAGAGGCTGTGGTTTTGAATAGGAAGGAGATGTCTGCATTCAGCTCTCCATGGAAGGTAGGGAAGTGAAGGTAGGACGTCTCCTTGTCAAAATATGCAGCGTTCCAAAAGTTCTCTGCAAGACAAAGAATTACTTCAGAAAACTTATTAAATGCTTCATATTGAGCAGAATGCCCTCCCCAGAAAAAAACTAAATATATCACAGTATAAAGCTTATTAAAAGAAATCTCATTATGATGGCTGCATAATGAAACTCGTGTAGTAAATAAATGAACCAACTGTTCAGCTAATTAGCTAAAAAAGGCATAACTCCAGCTACGCTATCTCATTTATGTTGATTTATTTTGCAAGGCATTTATTTATTTATTTTTATTAACGTGTTAAGTTGAAGACTGAAATCAGAGGCAATAAAACAAAGTAAAATATATCACAGATTAGTTTATTATAGTGCATCTCTTTTCATCTGAAATTGTTATTTAAGGACTCATATTCTGGCTATTGGTCTGGTAATAAGCTAGTGCACGGTAATTGGCTGCAGCCCATTTTTCATTAAACAGTTAACCCTTTTAATAAACTAAACCCTCTTTAGTCACAGTTAACAACTTGAACTGAATAGGACTCCTGTATGTACCCAGAGAGAACCCACGCAGGTACAGGGAGAACATGCAGTATCTGCACAGAAAGGTACCATGTTGGACCGGTCTTGAACCCACAGCCTTCTTGCTATGAAGTGACAGCGCTAACCCCTGCACCACTGTGCCACCCCTTGTACATGACATGTATCTCAAAAATGGGACACTTCCAGTCTGTAGCGCTATCAAATTTCAGGCATATGTGTAAAAGTACTGAGGTTCAACAGGCTAATTAGTAAGCAGGAAAGAGACTGTATGTGGGGGATTTCTTTAGATCAACTAACTGTATAGTTAAATTAAAACCATTTTTTAAATAGAAGTCTATCAAAACACACTGGTTATGTACTGTATCGTATCAACTTACCCAAAGAAGTGGTGGTATGTGTCACCAGAGAAACCAGTTAAATGCAAAGAAATAACCAGTGACTTACTGTCTCCATGACACTGGAGGGGTCCCACCCTGTAGGCAGCCTCCGACCCCGGCCGCTGGATGTCACCCAGCACCAGAGACCTGACTGGAAGGGTCTCCTTATGGGTGAGCAGGCCTGAGTCATTCGCCCTGTGGGTCAAGGTGAAAGAGGAGGAGGTGGTCAAGGCAAACCAAGAGAAAGAAAAAATGAGCAGAAGAACAAGGACAACAACAAGATGAATGAGAGAAAAGAAAAAGAGACAGAGGACATGGAAAAATGTGAGAAAGAACAAGGGGGAAAGAATAAGAAGAACAAAATTCAAAAAGGAGGAAGTGAAGAAGAAGAAGAACCAAAAGAGCAAGAGAAAGAAGACACAGAAGAGAAGCAAAAAACAATTGGAGAAAGTAAAAGGAGAAAGAAAAGAAAGCAGAAGAGGAATAAAGTAAGAAAATGAAACAAGAAATGGAAGATGATAGCATAAATAATAAAGGTCAATTAGAAGATGAAGAAAAAGGTGGAAAAGGAAAAGAGGAAGATGGCAAATGGTGATGACAAGAAGGTGAATAATGATGGGAGATAGAAGGGTAAAGAAATACAAGAGCAGGGGATGAAGAAAGAATCACAAAAGGAGAGTAGAAAGGATTAGAAGATGAAGAATGATGTGGAGAAGTGTAGGAGAAGGTTGATTAGAAAAGGAAAAGGGAGAGAAGGAGTTGGATACAAAGATACAGACGAGGAGGGGGAAGTAGGGGCAGGGGTTTACAACATCATCATTTCAATGCTGACTGATCATGCTTGAATAACAGGTGTTAAACTTGTGCCTGCCTGAGCTCAAACTACATTGTGTCCCGAAAAGTGGGACAAACTATTTAGAATACAAACACTCCATCTCTGAGCTGTGTTCATTTGTTCTTGGATGTTTACAAGTAGGTGTTCGCTTGAAGATCAGTGTTTCAGCTCACACACGTCTCAGACGGAGGTTTGCAGAACCACATTATGAGGGAACACAGGCTGCGTGATTCATCCAGCTCTGTGGTAATTCAAATTCCAGCAGCCTGCTTTGTTGCTGCAAAAGCCTGTCAAACAATAAATCTAGGACTGCAGATGCACACAGCACCGACAAATCTGATCAGGTATTGAAGGCAGAAGAAAGTCTATAAAATGGAGTCAGAGTGTCACAGATTTAGACAGGGAAATAATAGAAAGAAAGACCTCTGGACATGCAGACAGGGTTGGCTGCAATATGTGAAAATGGGCCACAGGACTGGGGAAAGTGACCTAAATACAGAGATGCTTAAAGCATAGAAAAAAAGATTTAAATACAGGATAGTGTGAAACATTGTGAGGGATGTTTAAAGCTGCATCAACTAAGATTTAGCACAAATTCAGATAAATCAAGTAAAAAACTGTCTACATAACAGTGCTGAAAAGAACTAAAAGCTTAGCATCAGAATTAAAAGTATGGATCAGGCCACATACCTGTACCTCTGTTTGTTGATATATATGAAGGGGCCCCTAGCTCACCATGGTTTTGGAGGGCTATAAAAACCAGGTGGATGACAACTTCAGTGCAGCTTCTCTTTCTGTCTTTGACAGCAGTGCACATGTAATAATGCACTCTGATGTAAATTGTGATGTATTTCACCTCAGCTACATTCTTTATTTGCTATATCAGTACCATTGGTCGTAGTCGGCATCGCAGTTGCAGTAGTGATTTGAATCCAGACAGCTGTCCTGCAGACCACAGGCACACTGCCGGCTGCCTGGCAGAGCCCCTCCCCAGTGCGTCTGGATCTGACCTGGACCCGGACCCCCCACCCACCAGCTGAACGGTGCACCCTCTGAAACACACACACAGACAAAATGTACACACTACGCATTTTTTTGCTGCAGGGACCAGTCTTACTAAAAAACACAGATGAATTTCACAACAGAGATAAGACCATGAATAATACAAGGCTTTAGCAACTGACACCTGAGTGATGAATGAACTGATGCTTTAATTAATTACTGAATTAACTAACGCAGCAGTTCACTCACTTTTCTGTGGTCCCTCAAATACACAAAAGCTTGTTTTGCCAAGAACTTTGTCTCACACTTAGCTTCACTCTCTCCTCACCTTCAGCACACAAAAACATACTCAATAGTGCTTAGAAATAACAATAAAGTGCAACTATCCCACATCAGTAACTTGGCTACAACCAAAAATATCAGAGCTCCGTCCCCTTGCCTTACCTGGTGTGTTTAGGAGGCGGGACTTCCTGCAGTGGTAGGACAGCTCCTGCTCACAGTGCTCTGATTGGCTGATGATGGCTGCCAACTGCTCTCCGTCAGAAGTGTAGTCAAAGTGGGCTGAATGTTGACTCATCCCAGGAGACAAATGAACTCTGGTCAGCTCTGTGTTATTGTGTTGGACCAACATCCACGCCCCGTCCTCTGGTGAGAGTTCATTATGATCTCAGTCAAATCCAATTCTGATCATTCAGAGTAAAACAGTGTGTATGAAATCAAATACAATGAAACTTTCATGATACAAAGGCTCCATCTTGAACAGACTGAGTTGAATTGTGATATGTAGGTGTGTGTTTGTGTGTTACCTGTCATGTTGCAGTAGATGAGCTGCGGTTTGATTGGTCCACTGCCATCCACATCTATGTAATAATGCCCTGATGTGTTGCCTTTGTGTTTGTATACCTCACATGACTGCTCATATGTTGCTGAGGAGGAAAATATATACCAGAATATAAGCAATAATAACATCCCAAATCGGTGGTTACTACTTGTATCAAAACCAAGAATAGCACTTGATACATGATCTGTACGTCAAAACCTGCTTTTGAGTTGTTGTTAATAACTAACAAGAACCAAAGACTTGAGAGGAAACACATTTCTTAATTCTGCTTTGTACAACACAAAGTTTGGGGCTACTGCACTATCCACATGGCTGATTACACAAACCCTGTCAAGACACAGAGCAATCGAAAGTGTGACTACGCTTCACACTAAGACACAGACACATTCAATTAAAATAATTCAGTGCAATAGAAAAGAAGTACATCTGAAATCTTGTCCTACAGTGTATAAATTAGCTGTGTGCATCATTCATTCATTTAAAAAATGCCTGTAAACACAATCCAGGCAGCCATTTGTCAGCAAAACATAACAGGGAAAGCAATTTAATGATACAGAAATTTCTAGGAGGCAGGTGACAATGTGCTTACTTTGATGGCACTTAATCAAACTCACAATCTTGACCTAACCTTAGCTAAAGTGCTTCTGTTGCATAAACTTAATAACAACCCACCAACCACTCCAATTACCTCCTCATGGCTCATGTCGTACTTAAATGTAGCACTTCCTACATTTTAAAAAACATATTACCAGGGAACATAATCCACTCAGCAATTACCTTTCTGTCAAAACATAACTGGCAATACAAATGGCTTGTATACAACTTCTAGGAGACACTGTAGCATTTGATAGGATAAAAGATTTTATCATCGTAATGCTAGTAATGCCAAGGGCTGACAGCTAATTTAAACACATGCTATCTCATTACTACCTATCGCAAGATCACAGAATATATTTACGTCCACCAAAATCTGACAGAATGAAGATGAATCGCTTGCAACATAGTCAATCATTTCACATCTTTGTCAAATGATATATAAAGAATCAGATCATAGTCAGATTTAGTAAAAACCTAAACAACATTCAAACCTAATGATAAGCACTTGTATCCAAACGTTGACATCCCTGACCCTAATTTCATTTGTGCTATTTTGTGATAAATGTAGAAAAATGCTTTGCAAACAACATCAAAGCAAAGAATGGCAAAGAAATAAATTTAAAAATGCATCAATCAGTTATAAAACAGTTATGTAACACTAAAGCTGGCAAATATGGAACTAAAAAGGGCACAAAAAAAAAAAATAGATAAAGCCGTCTTGTTATGGAATCTTTGCTCTGTAGTGCTGCTCACACACACTAAGGTCACAGGAGTCAATCTATGAGCTGTACAAAGTTTCCCACATTATACTTTGACATATATTAATCAAACACTTTCCCCAAGACAACACATTGATACAGTTTGAGAAGAGGTTTTGATCCAAATACAACAATTCAATTCAGAGGATGTGTGTGTATGGGAATCTAATTTGGCCTAGAGCTCATCACACCACCAGAGCATACAAAAATTCAATCAGCGCTTGGTGGTGTAATCAAAGCCACAGTCTCTTTAACTTCTAATTTGGCTCACCTAAAACACTGAAGGCCGTCTCTAAGTTGGATTCTATTTAAGGAGACAGAACAGCCTGCTGTAGGACCCGCTCTCCTTCCCCTGCGCTGTCTCTTCTTCTGTATTCCTCCCTCCTACTGCTAACCTCACTCCTTTATCTTTTTCTCTGTATGTCACCTTCCAGTTCTTGTTTATATTTTTGTTCAGTCTTCATCCTTTTCTACTTTTTAACTCAGTCACTTCTCGTAACGCAGGGCAGGGATTTGGTTGTTCTGAACCTGGCAACAACCTCAAAATGCAGAAGCTGCACTAGCAAAAGTCTGGCATATTTTCATGAAAAATAAAACTTAAGCAATGAATTAATTCTCAAATGTTCAGTATGCTTATATGTAACTGCATTTAAAACATGAATATATTCAAATTAATGTATGTTCTTCTTACTATGTGTGCAAGTACTGTTGTTCACCAGGGATATGAGACAGGGTTGGAGGACGGCTGCTCTACCACCCCCTAAACCCCCATCCCCTCCCCCCCCCCCCCATTGCTTGTATTTAAGATAACCTGTACTAATGAACTACCTGGAACCTTCACATTTCTAAAAATAAAATACTAAGCAAGTAGAAAGAACACATGGCCACTTCTCAGACCGGTTTTTCTGACACTATGGTTGGTGTTCACCGTTTGAAGCAAGAGGTGGGAGCAAATTGCAGTGCTCATCTTCAGCGGGATACCGTCCCTTGGTTTTTCCCTCAGCTTTCCCTCAGCAGAAAACGTGACACTTCAATGTATTTCTGCATCAGGTGTTACCAACAAGACTATTTCTGTAGCAGCATATTAAATCTGGTGCAAATGCACCACCAAGACTCCACAGGCCTGAAGTTAATGTAGCCATAACTGTTTTTAAGCTTCTTTTGCTATGTGTGTTCAACTTAATTTGCACTTGAAATACCTGGTGCAGTTTAGAGGAAAACGTGTAACTCAGGTATTTGGAGTTGCTTTCACTCCGTATTTTAGTTTATTTTTTATTTTTATTTTTTGGTAGTGGTTAGTTTAGGAGGAAAATATCTCAAAACTGACCAATTTCAGTAGCTGTCTGTCTCTGAAATCAGAGAGTTGTTATGAAAAACAAATGATGTTCCTTTGACACTTTTTGAGAAATAAAAAGGACTGTTTATATTATTTTTTTTACATTGTTTAGGCTCTCAGGTAACAAGGATGTCATTTCACCTCTTTAACATTTTTTTTAAGTTGCTCTTTTGTCTGTAACAAAGAGATACAGTCTGAGTGACGGGTGTTTGATTTCAGCATGAACCTCTGCCTTAGTGTCCAAAGGGACTTGAGTTGATAAGTAGTCTGCCACTTTACAGACTGGCCTGGAGTTGGACACAATCACATAATTACACATATCAGACAGATATGCAGACATATTTAAAATGATTCGGTAAAATGAGAAGACCAGAGATAGTGGACCATCTGCCTGAGTCAAACAGCTAAAGATTAGACCCATTACAACGTTCACATTACGTGGACATCTAATTCACTCAGCATAATGAAGTACCACAAACCTGTTTAGTCTATTTCCAACTGAACCCACAAGGAATCTGGAGCACTTTGGCATCCTTCAGCCTACTGCTTATTTTACAGCCTGCAGCTTTACTGTGTTGGTTTGCACACTCTGTTTCAGGCAAAAAAAAGGCCAATAAAGCCGAGACTCACCTAGAACCAAGCATCTGAGAGATAAAACTAATTACTAACTGATGAAAATAATTGACAATTTAACAACTAAAGAGCCATATACAGTAGTTCCCTTAAAAAGTTGGTGGGACCAATGACAGACCTATAGGAGAATGAACATTGGACTTATATTCACATAGGTGACCAGAAACATAGATTAAACCGAATGCTAATGGCGGCCTATGACTGCCGAATAGGTAACAGGGAACACATTTATTATAACCTTGGCAATGTGATAATGTGTCCATATTGTGTTAACTCTGCTCTTAAATGACCAAAAAGTGAATTAATGCAGTTTAAATATCATTCCAAATAAAGAATTTTTCAGTGTTATAAGACTTTAATTTGACTAAAACTTGTCCTTATAGAGCACTGATGAAAGAAAGGAAGGCCCTTCTGTACCGACCACATTTCACACTTCAGCATGAGCCATGTGATTTCATCATTTCTAAGCTTCAGATGCTCTGTGGCTGGTTACTCACAGCTGTGGCAGGTGGCTCCTCTGTAGCCGCTGTTGGAGCAGTTACAGTGGAAGGTGCTCCATGACTGTGTACATCTACCTCCGTGCTCACAATGACTAGGGGAACACCTGAGAGACAGACAGACACAGACACAGAGAGACAGAAGCTTAATGTCGATCAAAAGTTCTCCAGAAAGTTTCTCAAGGATGTCAATATGAAAAGGAACGACAGGCTGTCAGCAAACCTAACTGAGCAGGTGTGTAGGAAGGATAATAAATCTGTCAAAATAAAATGTCTTAAAATGAATAAAAACTAAAAATTTATAAGTCTGTTTTCATACAAAACAAAGCACAAGTACGTGCTCTGAGAAGTAGCTGGTTTAAAAATGCTTTTGGTAGAACTGCTCACTGACTTCATCCCACCCAATCTGTCTCTCAAAGAATAAAGTCACATTTCATTATTCATTTCCATGCTTCTGGGCCACAGAAGAGACACATCATATCAGGACATGGAATCACATCTCTTTGGTTCATCTCCCATCTGCTGAGTTGCTCCCAAGACACACAAAAAACATGATTTCTAAAACACCCTGTGATCATTATCAGTCGCTTTACATTCAAAAACAATGTCCATATATGATTGGTGTCACCCTTGCTGTATCATTTGTCACTGTGTCCCATATGATGATGCTGTTTCATTTGGTTTTCTGTATGAAGCTTTGAGTTTCCTCGCCTTGCTGATTATGCCAAATAGCCAGTAAAACCCCTTCACTTTGCGTTATTCTTTGCTTCTGCTCTCGAAACCCCCACTCAGCAGGTGGCCACCACTGTAAAGCTATCCGCCCAGCTACAGTGTATGACGGTTCCCTGCACGACGAAAATTTAGTGGTGCGATTAGAAGAGAGTGATGGGGGGGTCATTTGCAGTTGGGAGCCGACAATATTTACGAGTCACCAGAAAAACAGTTAAATTTATTTTCTATTTATCTGAGACAATATGCAACTAAATCAACTGCAGCAGAGTACTAATGAGGTTTTTTTTGTATTTGCAACTGACGGGCAGGATATAAAACACACACGGGCGCTACATTAGCAGTGACACTAAGATCTAGCATCCAATAAGGTTTTTTTTTTTTTTGCTAACTGTAATGCTGAACTAAACTGCACAATGCCAGCAGGCAGTCAATTTTAAGTTATATTTTTAATTGGATTTCCATGCAAGCTCAGAGTAAAAAAATAATTAAACAAATGTAAAGGAGTGACCCAGTTGTATCACTATCACAATTTAGCCCTTATCAAAGTCACTCACATCCTTATGCTTGTCTGTTTTTCCTGCTTCCAGCACATCAACTTCGAGGACTGAATGTTCACTTGCTGCCTGATACACCCCACACGCTAACAGGTGTCACTGTAACAAGATAGTCAGTGTTATTCACTTCACCTGTCAGTGGTCATAATGTTATGGCTGATTGATGAAGAAAACAAAATTCCTAAGAAAATAAGCACATTTTTGAAAATATCAAGGGGATTTTGTTGACTCTTCTCCCATAACGAGACACTGTTGACCATCAGCCTACTACTTGTCCCGGGCTCCAGAATGAATGTCCATATAATGTTTCTTGTTTATTCACTACTGTATCTTCATTGTAATAGCAGACAAGAAGAGCAGGTTGACAAATGTCTGTGCTTGCACCTGTTTTTCTGGATTCTTTAACACCCACTTTTTTTTCTTACTCCCACTAGCATCTGCAAAACCTGGGAAAACTCAGCTTTTCTTGGCAACAGCCATCTGCAGCCACAGTAGGCAGTTCTCTGTCACTGTCTCACCATCCAGCTTGCTGTTGGCAGCCTGCTGCCACATGCAGCCTCAAACGGGAACACAGCTGGAGGAAATGAAAAAGGAATTCAACACGAGCTTGGGTCAAAGGATGAGATGAACTGTAGCCTGCATCACTGAAGCTACAACAGATCTCTCAGGGGCTAAAAATTCCTACTTCATTCTCAAAACATCTCCGGAAGGCTGCTAGCTTGACTAACAACTGGCAATGCAATGTGACAGCACACTGAACCACAGCTCAGAAGAGACTTTGTAACCCTTCTAAAATTTTCTAGTGCAGTGTAGCAAAAGTCTTATAACGTAGCTTAGATCACAGGGCTTGCATCCAGTTTCTATTAGTGCCTCTGGCTAAACCAATACAACACAGCACCTCCCCCGATCTGCACACTATTACTGCACAGGCAGACTGGCTTGTCCTACAAAGACTTTAAATAACTGCAGTCTGCTGAACAGCATGAGAGAGAGAGCAGTATGTAGTTTTATTCTTTCAGTCTGCTCTACACTTGCTCCCCACACAAAGTTTGACAGAGGAGTGTGATGGCCAAGATGCGAGTATGTGTGTCTGTGGCCACACTGAGCACCAGACATCATAAAGTCAGTGGCTGACAGACACACAGATCCACAGAACAAGAAGAGCGGACCTTTTCGTGACCTTGACTCTTTTTATTCGTGGATGTGTTTGTGTGCTTTGACAAAGTGTATTATTAAGTTGTCAGAATGTGACAGAAGCAAAGAGGTCAGAATTACTGCCTTCTGACAGCTTAATCTATCTCGCTTCAAAACATACACTCACACACTGACAAGACTGGTCGGTGAGAGGGGGTGGTAAGTTCACAGACGTCAGTGCCTCGGAAAGCAAGTGTGCCCTAAAGGTATCAGTATGCTTCAAACAAAGTACTTGTTGGATCACTGAACAATGTCTGAAATCTCCTCCCCTTATGTCTTTGCCATGTCAAGTTTTGAGGCTGTGCCCAACTATTTTTCTGCATGTTTCAAAACTGATAATCCAACAACAAATCTTGTTATTCACCCCTTGCAAAACAGCTTCCATCACTTTTTGTACATAATGTTGTGTGTGACACGGTGCAATGCATTTAGAGAGCGACTATCCAAAAGTGCGTGCCATCATTCATCATGCCATGCCCCTCTGAGGGCACACTTTTTGTTCATTCAGAACAGGTATAAACACTTCTCCAGTAGTCATGGTTGAAAAAAGTGATATGTTTCACGCATCCTTTAGCCTGACAAAATACAAGACTCATTAAAGAAACAAATGTTAATTAGTGAGCTTTAATGAGCTGTCACTTTTGGACAGAGCCAGGCTTTTGTAGCTGCTTCCTCCTGTCTTCAGTTTACAGTAAGGATTTCCTAAGTCAGGCTAATCCTAGTTCCGGCTTTATATTTAACCGACAGAGTGAGAGCGTAGGGTCAATCTTCTCATTTAACAATTTGCAAGAAAATTTTCCTAAAAGTCAAACGAATCTTTTAAAGGGCTTCATGAAATGTTATTCATTTTTGTGTCTTGTGTGGTGCATTTTACGTAATATTTACAACAAGTTTACAATTTTTTTTGGACGTTTCTGGAATTTGAAGTTAGGAGACATTGCATGGCTTGTCTGTGGAACAGCTGGAATCTAACATTCATTGCAAGAGCAAAGGATGAGGAGGAGGAGGTCTTGAGGTCTAGATCAAGGTTCTCTGCTGGCATGCTCCCAAACATCAGTCAAGTGGCATTAACCCACAAAAATGAAGCTGGGTCATCATAGAATCAGCGCCAGAACATTTTTTTATTTAATTGGCAATCAGATCAAACAAAATAAATAAGTCCATTAATTGGAAAAAGATCAAATATTGATCCATACATATACTGTAAATGCATCTATGTTTCATGTTTGGGTTCACAAAGATGACTAGTCTGCCAGTGCAGTAGTCTCTGAAATGAAACCTAGGATTGCGCTGTCCATGGTCCTGATCCTGCAGAACATCAGTAACAAGTGCCCTGTCCAAGGTACTAGCTTCTGTCCACACTGAAAGTTCTGGTCTGATCACTAATCTCCATTCATGTTTCATCATTAAATATGTTTGGTAGGTTCCATAAACCAGGTGCTCTTTTTGTCCTGGTTGCTGACTCTCACGTATGCCTCCCTCAGTTAACTCTTGCCTCTCTGTCGGTCTGTAACAGCTCTAACTGTCAACAAGAGCAAAGCCAAAAGTCCATTTGACAGTATTTTCCTCCCCCAGTCTCCTTGTGATTTTCAACCCCAGGCCTTGAAGATGTAAACTTTTCAGAACATGTTAATGTTCATGAACACGTTTAATTTTACAACAACAGCTGTGCACATGGAAAACAAGATTATGTTATTTCTCAGTCTCTTTATTATAATCAGCAAATACAGGAAATATGTACAGTAAAACAGGAAAGTGTGCAGTTGTCAGGGACTATTTTTAGTCATGGCTTTGTTGTTCTACTTGTACAGCATCAGTCCAGGAGAGTATATGTAGGACCACGCCACCCGATGTGGCTCACTGATGTGTTTTTGAAAGTTTCTGAACAACACAGAGTAATGGGTCATATCAGATTTGGGCTACACAGACAATAATTGTTAGTAGCATCAACAGGAAATATGTACAGTAAAACAGGAAAGTGTGCAGTTGTCAGGGACTATTTTTAGTCATGGCTTTGTTGTTCTACTTGTACAGCATCAGTCCAGGAGAGTATATGTAGGACCACGCCACCCGATGTGGCTCACTGATGTGTTTTTGAAAGTTTCTGAACAACACAGAGTAATGGGTCATATCAGATTTGGGCTACACAGACAATAATTGTTGGTAGCATCAATTCACTATTGTGTTTTTTTTTTTTTTTACAGCTACAATATGCTGAGAATATCGCTAGACCTACGCCTTAAAGCATGATTCCCTTGTCAAAGGGCTTGTTGTTCTTAAAGCCACAGAGTGACAAATGCAAAGTCCATTAAATTAGCCTTGTTATCTGTAATGTCTGCTGAGTTGGCAAGTCAACAGAAATCTCTTCAGTACATAAAAAATCTCTGGTCTCTATCTACACCTGGGTTCTCTTCTGCCAGGAACTTATGAACTTATATACTTATTGTATTGACATGGTAAAGGGAGAAACAGTGTCTGGTCAGTATATTTAGAATATGATTTTCATACATGTGCACTGAACCAGCAGGGAAATGCAAAATTAGTCACAAACTCAGTACTTAGTTGTATCACTGTTTTCGTAAGTACCAGAGTTACTCTGGAAACCACTGTGAACCAAAATAACACACAGCACAGAGGAACTTCATAAGGGAAGTTAATGAGTCCAATCACCCCCCGAAGAGAAAAATCAGTGTATTGCTTTCACAACAAATGTGTATGTGTGGCACCACACTGAGATGCTTGCAGGATGTGTGGATTCATGGGAACAAAAGTAAATGAAAATAAATTCCGAAGAAACTTTAGGGGACTAACCTGTCAATGATGCCACACATATCAATCTGCAAGTGGCTGTAGTTTCCCAGCAACCTTTGCTGCACCTTGATCAGGTCAAAAGTTTGGTCATCCAGAGTCAGGAGACGCATGCAGCCTTGAAATACCTGGACAAAATTTGTGCTCTCCTGAGCAGGACAACCTAAAGAGGGAACCACATGACAACATTAAAATCATCAGACGGGCTACAACATTGTCTCTGTTTAAATACTGTTATCATAAAGAACATGAAATTACATTTATTTAAACAAAATTTAATTAATGTCCCCCTCAAACTGTGTCTTCATTGCTGATGTTAACCACATTTTTATGACTGATGGAAACAAAGACCTAATAAAACACATACTGCAGAGCACTCTGCTATATGAGTGGAGTGTGAGAGAAGTTCTGTGGTCATAAAACTTTATTTATACAGTATAGTTTTGAGCTTTAATATAAGGTTTGCACTGAATATGTCAAAACTCACCGTCATCCAGGAAAAGGCTGCTTCAGATTATTATTTACTAGGGATGTAACGATACCAAAAATGTACGGTACAATATTGCCACGTTAAAAATATGTTATGTGTAACAATATTTTAAAAATGAAGAAAAAAAGATGAAAAATGCTCTTTACTAAATAATAATGCAAATAGTTTTCACTTCCATCAGCACATCCAGAGTCATATCAAAGTCAATTCCCTCAAACAATATTAAACAAGTACACATGAAATGCAAATGCAACACTTTCTCCAGATTTTTTTTAAAACATCCTTCTCTTTTTAGGTAGGCTTTTAATGTGTCGAGTTTTGGCAAAAAATCTTTTGAAAATCAGAGCTGCAAACTGCTGGGTATAACATGACTGTTGAACTGATGGAATTTGTTCTAGTCTGCCTTTTTAACATTTTTTTTTACCAAATTTTGTGTCTGGCTATATTTTTTGCATTGTCTTATACAGTACATGTGATTTTAGTATTTAAATATCATTTCTCTGGTGTTTGGTTTTGTCTTAGGGGAAGGGACTATGCTGCCCTTGTTCCCATTTCCTCAGCAAAGTTGAATGTTCAGATGTAGTCCAGGAGCCTACTATTCCTCTATCACCACAGAATTTACCTGTTAAACCTCTTATACGTGTTTTATATTCTCCACTGGCCTGTATAATTAGCTTAAACACTGATTTTGGATGCTCTGTCAATGTCTTTGCATAAGCAGACCTGAGATGCCCATCATATAAAACCACGTCATCCCACCAAGGGCTGTGACTGAGCTCCATGTCTTATCCATCAGTGATTCATGCTTGAGGTT